ATTTGGTACAATACGAACGGTAGCAAATTTATTAGCGTCAGTTTTAAATTTGATTACTTAGTAATTTTTTTTTGATTTTCGTAATTCTTTATTTTTTCTTGATTTTTGTAATTCTTATTCTTGTTTTACAAATTTTGTTTAGTATTTTTCTTGATTATTTTGTAAATTTTCTTAAATAGTTTGGTATTCTTTTGATAAAGTGCTTGATTTTTCTGTCTTTTGGTTTGTTTGTTCGGACATCTTGAGAAAAGAATTTGTAACTTTTGGTTCTCAAATGCTTGAGATTAGTTAAAATGGACCTCACTTTCTCCTAGTCTCTATTGAGACTAAGTTTCTCTCTAAGACTTCTTTGCAATCAAAATTATAATCTTAGTTTCTAATTAAATTTCTCATATTTTGTTTCATATTTCGATATTCTTTGGTTTTAATTGATAGTATTGAAATTTATATAGGTGCATTTCTTCCAATTTCTCTTTTTCCTCAATCAAATGAAGTGTTGCAAATATATCAGTGATGGCTATTAATTTGATTACTGGGTAATTTTGTATATTCTTATTGATTTTTGTAGTTCTTATTACTTTCTCACAATTTTTTGTTTAATATTTTCTTTATTATTTCATAAAATTTTGAAAATAGTTTGGTTTTCTTTTGGTAAATATATTATTTATTGCTTGATTTTCCTTTGTTTTTTATTTGTTTGTTTGCCAGGAAATCGTAAGAGAAGAGTTCGTAACTTTTGGATCTCAATGCTACACTTTTCACCTTTTTATACCACTTTTACTGTACCACCTCAAGTGTCAGCACATCATTGGTGTAATGGGCCTTGCCACTCATGTCTATCTCCAATGTAGGTGCTAACACATAAGATGGTACACTAAAGGTGGTATAAAAAAGGTTTTAAGGGTGACAATGTTACTCTTAAAAATTTCTTTATTATTTCATAAATGTTTTGAGGCTATGTTTGTTTGGCATGTTGGTTTTGGGCAAAAATAGCCACAAAAAGACAAAATAGGCTAAAAAGCCAATAAAGACAATGCCACATCTAAACCATAATCATTTCATTTTTTTCTCTCACAAAGTCAAAAAAGCCAAAAAACCTATCCCAAGGAGGCCTTTTAGCCTAGGCTAAAAAAGCCAAAAAGTCAATCCACATCCCAAACGAAGGCTAAATAGTTTTGTTTTCATTTGATAAATATATTATTTATTGCTTGATTTTTCTTTGTCTTTTGGTTTGTTTGTTTTCTAGGATATCTTTACAAAAGAATTTGCAAGTTTTGGATCTCAATGCTTGAGATTAGTAAAAACGACTTCTCTTTCTCGTACTCTCCATTGAGACTATGTTTTTTTCTAAGATTTCTTTGTAATCAAAATTATGACCTTAGTTTCTAATTAAATTTCACACATTTTGTTGTGTTTCGATATTTTTTTTAATATTTTTTTTAAATGATAGTATTAAAATTTATATTGGTGCATTTTTCTTACTCTTTTTCCTTAATTATATGATAAATGAACTGCTGCTAATTTATTAGTGCCTTTTTAATTTGATTACTTGGTAATTGTTTGTATTCTTTCTTATTGATTTTCGTACTTCTAATTGCTGTCTCACAATTTTTTGTTTAGTATTTTCTTTATTATTTCATATATTCTTAATTGTTTGGTTTTCAATATTTTTTCGTATTAATTGAGTGTTTTGAAATTTATATAGGTGCATCTCTTACAATTTCTCTTTTTCTTTAATTATATATGACAAATGAACTCTGACAAATTTGTAAGTGAGTGTTTCTAATTTGATTACTTGGTAATTTATCACTTTGTGGCTTGCCTCAAACCAATGCATCCTGCAAATACCCTAAGTCTTCTGATAGGCTTGTTCTTCATGTGCTGATCTTTACATTTGTATTACATTTGTACCTTTTCAAGCCTGGACTTCATTAGCATGTGCAGTCTAACTTTTGAACCTTATTGTTGTTAGTTATATAATGATGCATATTTACTCATGCAGACAAGCATTATTTAACTATGTTTTCTTTATTGAAACACTATTTTGGTGTTTCTGATACTTACATTTCTATAATATTTTTAATGTTGGACTCTTAACTGTTTTCTTTTCTTAACTTTCTAATAATCACATAGGTGTAACAATGTTTAGCTAGGGGATGCGAAGTGACAACGGCCCATATTTGAGGGGGTAAAGTGTAGTTTCCCAATAAATTATGATTTTTAAATAATTTTATTGTTGGTGGGATTTAGACCCTCATCTCTTGTTATGAAGGTAGTGTCTTACGAATTAGATGGTATTCTCACTTTTATACTAAGAAACACGGACGTGGAAACGGACACGGATACGGACACGTGACACGACACAGACACGCGGGCATGTAATTTTCAAAAAATGCAAGACACTACACGTTAGGGACATATTCAAAACATATATTTTTATTATATGTATATTTTAAAATATTTAATACGTATTTTATGTCAAATATTTAAGTTTATTAAATTTATCAATCTTAGGTATGCTATTTTAATAAAAAAAATAGTTCTCAACATATCCCTAACGTGTCCCCCAGAGTGTCCCTAGGGTGCCCTCAACATGTCACTAGCATGTCGTTAGCGTGTCCATAGTGTGTCCAACGCGTGTCCGGAGCGTGTCTGTGTCCAACGCTTGTCAGATACCTGTACGCGACCTCCTGGGAAGTGTTCATGCATCATAGCTTTTATAGAACTATAAGTTGTGCCAAAATATTTTTCCCCCCATATAAAATTGTCTAACATCAGTTTTTGTTATGCTAACTCATATTTGCTACATGAATAGATTGGAATAAAAAAAGAAAGAAAGAAAAGAAAATGAGAAAATGAAATTATTATGATTCTTGATTCAATTTGATTCACAATTCGCACAATTAGGATTTTTATTCATGATACGATTCTTGAATTGACAACTATGATACAATACAACAGGGACTACTTATGCACCAATTGAAGCAAGAATATCTAGCATCAATGTTATCAATGGAATCTTGGTTATTGTTCTGTTCTCTGATTATTACATTTCCAATCTTCAGCTGGTCTTAATTTTTCATGCTTTGAATCACGTGGGAGAAAGGCAAGGGGAGTCATGCGATTCTCTTTGCAAGTCAAATGGGCAGTCATGTGTTTCAAGCAAACTGTCAGTGCTTAATCAAAGTGAAATGTAAGCTTTATCCTTCAAGCATTGGTCTGTCTTAATTATTATTATTATTTTTTTGGGTATGAATATGCAGATTTTATAGCTGACAATGCTAATTGTTCTTTATGGCTATGATATTTATTCTAGCTTCTTGGGTTTGATCTACACTAACTAAACTGAGCAACTTGTGTGAAACATACTTATGTTTGTTTTTATATTGTGAATTGGATTACATTTTGAATTTTTTTTACCTATTCTAAGATAATCAAATGGAAATTGTTGTATAATTTCCATATGTACGCCATTTCTTTGTTTTTATTTGTTTCTCTTTTGTGAAATACAAAATATTTAAGGAGATATAGAAGTCCTCATTGGAAATGAAAATATTCTATCTGTTTAACATTCTAGATGATTTCTCTTTCTTGTATTATTTAGATGGATTCACGATTTATGCATTTGTGGGATCCTTTCTGCAATTATTTTGAAATAGCATTTCAATTCTGCTGTCGTTTGTGATGATTTCTTATTCTCTCCTTATGAGCTTATGTTTTCCTTCACTTCGTGTTTTATTTTGTTCTGTTTTGCCTTTGGTATTATTTGTCGTCATCGTCTTCTTCTTTTTTAAATCTTTCCTTGGGTACAATTTGGTACAAATGGTGGCTTCATCTTATTGTTGCCTCATTGACGAGTGTTCATGTGACCATTCATCATTTTCATTAGCAATCACTCATCTATAGCTTGAATACGTAACTGTCAATTTTTCTTCTTTGATTAGATTTTATTATTTCAAAAATTTAGATTTTATTATTTCAAAAATTTGTTCATGTGGGATGTCTACAACCAAGATTGTGTGCCTAGGATTACCATATATCCCTTTTAAAAATATCATTTTGTTGTTTATTTTCCTTGGAATTGCATGTCCATATAGTTCCTGCTTGAAGGTTGAACTAGGATTGACAACCCTAGCCTAAGTGAATGAAGTCCACAGGTGAGCAGTGTACCCTACCTCCCATCTTTGACCTATGCATAATTCATACCATATTAGACCTTTCCCACTTCTAAAGATCTAAATTTCAGGAAGCACACAAGATTTATGTAGTTTATCCCAGAATGTAGGATTATATTATCCACAACTACTTTCAAAGTTGCGAAAGATTACTTGAGATAGTCATCTTTTCTCCAACTATTAATTATATAGATATTAGGGCAACATGTCACAATTGTTGAAATGCAACAAATACCCTTCAAAATTCAGTTGAGTTGTTAGTGTCCACACTGCTGGAAATTAGGTTTTTAGTGGCGTTTAAAAAACGCCGCTAACTGTTTTCGTGACGTTTAATACCAAACGTCGAAGATGCGGCCGTCGCTATAACTTTATGACGCTTTCAAAACGTCGCTATGACGTCATGCAATATTTAGCGACGTTTTGAAAACGTCATAGTAGATCTTTTTTATTTTAAAAATATTACCATTGACATCATCTATAGTGACGTTTTGAAAACGCCGTCACAGCTTCAAATTTTTTTTTTTTTTTTTTTTTTTTTTTTTTTAAATTGTGCTAATTCTATGAAATTTAACGAAAACAAATTACCTGTAATAAAGATGAAAAATATAAAATATATTAACTAAATTTAGGTAAACATAATACTAGATCAATTCATGCTTCTCAGTATACAAAAATATTTCAATTTCAAGATGAAATAAAGTTAAACTAGTGCCTAGTGATAAGTTGAAAGTTATTACAAAACAAATCAACACAAAAAAAAAAGATCAATCATGTACCCTTTACAGCTCGGCACAAAAAAAATCAAGATATTTAAATTGCATGGATGAATGTCTAGCATAAAAAGAGGGGGGGGGAAATCAACTGTATGCTATACAACATAGTTGCAAGACCAATCATGTACTCTTTACAGCACTGGGAAGCAAGTTGAAGGCTTCATCCTCTTCTTCCAACTTCTTTTCCTGTTGACAAAAAAAAAATCCCAAGACTTAGTAAGTACTGATGGTGATAAAATAGTATCCAAATTCACATGTTTTGAGTTCCTATGCTGCCTTGAAAAATTCACACTGCAGCTATGATGTGGTCAAATAGCTATACCTCTGGATGATTTGTTATGACATCAATTGGTCCAACAGTTTAAAGTATAAAAATACTGAAGCTCAAATTCTAGCAAAGTTATAGTTTGCTTTTGAATTTGAGCCCTATCAAATTCTCGTCAGATCAATACAGCCAGTGCCTAGCCTTAACACTGAACAGATTTTAGGTAGGCATGCCAAACCAGCCATTTAACTAATTTATCTGAAAAGAAGAAAAATAGACATTCAAAGACTTTAATATATATATATATATATATATATCTAGAACTTATTACTTGTGTTAATTTTCAGTTCAATGAGTTAAGGAGGCAACCTGAATCAAAACCTATTATGTTCAAAAGTGAGTAGAAGATTACTTGAATGCAGCCCATCCAAAAAAAAGGTCAAACTACATGCTTACTTCAGGCAGTTCTGCAGGTATAAAATAGTATTGCCAGCTAAACATAAATTCAATCCCACAATAGATACTGCTGCTGCCATTCACACAAATCTAACACATCACAAAAGTGACCAAAATGGATTTACACCCAAAAGGTTGAAATAATGAACTAGCATAAATGACCTTACATTTTCCTCAGCTGAGTGCTGCAAGATCTCCAGCATTGCATCTACACTGATAGTTGCTTGTCTTGACTGAAAAAGCAGAAAGAAGACTTGTTTTAGTATGCTAAGATTTTCAGCAGAATATTCAATCAACAAGCTGTTCTTTCTCTAAGCCCCCAAAGTTGACTTTATTCCAGGAAAATCAATTCACTGTGATGGAAGCATACCTTCTCACAAATAAAACTCCATAAAGGTCCCCTCAAATAAATTCAATTTTGTGAAAAATACCAGATTGAGGAAACAGCAAAATTAAAGCACTTACAACACAGCAAGTGCCTGCATCAAGCCAATCACCGATGGGATTTGTCCTGAGAGTTGATTACCTTGCAAAGATCTAGCATGCAAAATAAAATTCAGAGCAATTTTTTAAGTAAATAAGTCATAAAAATGCCAATATGGAAAAGATAACTGAGAAAATGGAAGGAGAAGTGTACTCACAGATATTGCAAAACTTCATTCCAGTATATAAGCCTAGGTATTTCCCCACTCAGTGTATTCTGTGCAAGGTCTCTAGAATACATATATTGAAGCATATGCATCTCAGTCATCATTCTAAAATTAGATAGAAATTAAATGAGAAGAGAATGGAGAAAGAGGACTTACAAGAGTTTTAAATTTGGAATTTGGGACAAGGTTGAGGAGACCCAATTAACTGATTGTTTTTCAAAATTCTGGGGAGACCCATTCCAAAGAAGGGAAGAAAAAAATTATACAAGACAGAATTAGCGCCATAATCAAAGGTCTGAGTTGCTTTAATACTCGCTTGTCAGTTGTTCTTCGAGTTTGATTGAGAAGAATGAGTAGTGTAAAAAAATGAAAACTACTGAGTTATTAAAATATCAAGTAATCGACTCTAATCATCACTAGAAGAGTTTTGGTTAATTCATCCGTAATACTAGCTACTGAGTTTAATGTTGGTGGTGATTAGATTGTGGTGGTGTTGATAGAGGGTTTGGTGGTGGGTTGTTTTTGTGGTGGTAGCGTTGGAACAGTGGTTGGCTTTTGAGACTGGCACAACTTGCCGTTGCCAAAATGTGACTTTTTGAGACGACATAACTTGGCATCGCAAAAAAAATAGAGTATTTTGCGATGATAGAAATTGCTGTCGCAAAAAAAAAAAAGTATTTGCGACGGTACCAACTGCAGTCGAAAAAAAAAAGAAAAAGTTTTGTGCGATCGTAAAAACGTACCGTTGCAAAAAAGAAAAAAAAGTTTAAAAAATATATATATATATTGTGGCTTTGAGACGGTTTTCATATATATATAGTCATAAAATGGTTTAAATAAATGCAATGGTATTTTTCTTTACAAAAAGAAAAATAAAAAAAAAAAAAACGACGTCGTCTAACTCTTTTGAACATTTCCTCTTTCACCTATTTTTTCATCTTTTATCTCTCTGTCTCTGTCTCTCTTCTCTTTCTCTCTCTCATCTCATAACTCTTCTCTGTCTGTCTGTCTCTCTCTTTCTCTATGTTTGTCTCTGTCCTGTCTTCTTATCTCTCTTTCTCTCACCATCACTATTCTTTGTCTGTCTGTCTCTTTCTTTCTCTCTATGTCTCTGTCCTTCTTCTCTTTCTCCTCTCACTCATCATTCATCACTCTTCTCTGTCTGTCTGTCTGTCTCTCTTTCTCTCTGTGTCTCTTTGTCCATCTTTTCTTCTCTTATCTCTCTCATCTACTCTTCTCTCTCTCTGTCTCTCACGTCATCTATCTCTTCTCTCATCTCTTTTCTCTCATCTCTTTTCTCTCTCTGTCTCTTTTCCGCATCATCTCTCTATTCTTCTCTTATCTTTCTCTCTCATACGCCTTCTCTCTATCTTTCTCTCTGTCTCCTCGTTCATTTTTTTCTCTCTCTTATGTCTCTCTCGCTCATCTTCTTCTCTCTTCTCTCTCTATCTCTCTCGTTCATCATCTCTCTTCTCTCTATGTCTCTTTTTTGTCTCTCACTCTCTATCTCTTTTTCTTTCTCTCTCTCTCTCTCTCCCCCACTGTTGTTTGCGTTGTTCACTTCTCTC